TTTATTGTTGTAAGTTTTAATTGATATTGGGTGTTCTGGAAATTAAAAGAAATTACTACGATGGATCAACAATTTGTCAAAACAGATATGATTGTTATCGATAACAAGGAGAAATATTGATTTAAAACATTAAAAGGAGAAGAAGCATTTAATCTTTTACAGCTTCTAATGGATTTTCTTCCCAACAAAACATTTTTTATCTAAAAGAGATGCTACAGAGAATTTTATTTTTGAATACTAAAGTTTCACCCAATGCAAGACGCAAAGGCCACAAGTGAAAGACGGTTACTCTACACGAGTAAACCTTATTTCCTCTTTAGGAGTGGGTTTTCAGGGTCTTCTAAAGTCTTGAAATTTTTTCTCATTCCCATTCACATTGTATTGCAATTCTTATCACCGCTTTTGACAACAATAAACATTGTCGATAAGTGAATGTTTGTTAAATAGCAGTGTCATATGAATAACAGTGTCCTTGATTTCCGGTTTTTTTTCTTTGACGGGCACGAAGTTCCATGATTGCCTAACATATTTTTTAATTTTGTGCTGGTAAATTATTATTAATTTCCTATAAAACGTAGGTCGATGACTACCGTATAAACTCCCGTATCATGCGACGTTTGTAGACATAATTATTAATCTAATTTGATTACAGATAATGAATATAGAGTTTGGTCAACGATGTAGCCAGTGTCAGCATTATATACGCTTATTTATGATGCGACCCCGCTTAAAATTAGCTTCAAAATTAGGTCTTCAATACTCGCATGATACGCCAGCATATAAGGTATATTTAATTAACCTATCACATGTGTTTGCATGGTATCGTTGGCCATAGTCTTTCACCTCGTGTTCACATTGAAGTTTTAAATTCTGATTATCATGCGGTGTTATGTGCTAAAAGTCATAGATTTTTTTTTAATTCGTCAGGCTTTGCTAAAAGCAAATAATAAATAAAAATGTCAGACAGAAATATTTTTAATCTTTAATAACATTTATTTGTAATTGTCGAAGGGCAGTGTCTCGTTCGGGGAGGTTGACCAACCCGATGGCGTTTATACGGGTTCTACGGGCATTTTTTGGCAGAGCCTACGGGCTCGGAAAACCCACGCTAAACTCGGCCTTGTGCCACATGCACCCCTCGTGGGGGTAGCTAGATACCGAATCGAGCCGAGCTTCTCGGCTTGACGGTCAAACTCTCTGCCTCTGAGCAGAGAGTAACCCGGACGTGGCTCTGACGATGGGCAGTGTCTCGTTCGGGGAGGTTGACCAACCCGGTCCCGTTTATACGGGTTCTACGGGCATTTTTTGGCAGAGCCTACGGGCTCGGGAAACCCACGCTAAACTCGGCCTTGTGTCACCTGCAACCGTCGTGGGGTAGGGGGCTAGATACCGAATGAAGCCGAGCTTCTCGGCTTGAAGGTCAAGCACTCTGCCTCTGAGCAGAGAGGAACCCGGTCGAGGCACCGCCGAAGGATAGAGCATCGTTCGGGGATGTTGACCAAACCGATTCTGTTTTTACAGTTTCTACCAGCTCGGAAAACCCACGTAAAACTCGGCCTTGTGCCACAACTTTCCTTCGTGGGGAGGGGCAAGTAAATATCGAATCGAGTCTAGCCGATAGTAGTTCACTCCAAACCAGACTGACAGTCATACTAACACCTTCCACATCTTGTATTATTATTTCGTGTAATATTCGTTATTTCTACTCTTGTGTTCGTGTTGTTCTTCCTTGGTCCTAACCTGGACAATAATGCTCTCTTGCGCATTTTTATACATTTCTAAACATTTATTTGAATAATTTTCAAATCCTAAGTTAATGATATCCTCCTTTCTTTCTTTCTTTAAATCACAACGACAACAACAAAAAAGACCTGACATTTTCACGCACGTCTTCCGCGTAAATATTTAGCCATGCCGATTTATGTAACCAAAAAGAAATGCGTTTGATAAACAGTGATGCAAAGCTGAAAAGAATATTTAGTATTCTGCTTGACTGCCATAAATAAGGCCGTGCAAATTGATATGTAAACTGATTAGGCATATGTGCAATAAACGTGTGAAAAGTAACTGAACATTTATAGCAACTCCAAGATAAAATCTAGTGTTTAAAATATGCAACAAATAAATGCGTAACGCAAAGTTAACATTTAGCCGTTTTTTTGTCGGATTTTAAATATGAAAAAAAAAAACGAATTTTTACATAGTTTTAAAGAAATTTGAAATTCAATATAAAAGTTTCATAATAATTACTTTGTGTCTGCCTGGTCAGTTCAATCTAGATTTCTACAAGATAAGAATCAATAATTATCTCTCTTCCTTATCTTTATCATTTAGATCCGCCATATCTTCTATTCATTTCACTTCATTCAGCATTAGCATTCTGTGTTACATTGATGCTCTACCATGTGTTGCTTTCGAGCCTTGCATTGTGTGAAATTTAGTATAAAAACGTTATGTCGTATGTTATGGGAGATTGACATCACGAATCACCGGTGGTAATGAAAAAGCAGAAGATATAATTTTTCTGAATTTTATGACGTAAAAGATGCTGTTGATTATACAAACTGGAGATAAAGTTAAAGGTTACAGTTGGATTTATGGATTTAGTATTAATTTGTGCCAAATTCATCGGTGTGTGTAACCTTGGCAAATTATGACACGCGAGTAAAGTGATGGGACAATATAGTATATATATATATATATATATATATATATATATATATATATATATATATATATATATATATTCATACACGTTTCATTAAATAATATAGACAAGTGTTGTCTATTTATTTTATGTAATTTTTTTTCATAAAGTCTGATAAGTTTAATAACATTATCATTGAACGAAGAAAGAAATTCACAATATTGATCCATATTTTTTTAATACAATCTAAGTTTTCGGCTTACATAAGCCATTATCACAGATGTCAATTACAACATATTAAGCAATATTCGGACAAGACATTCATGATAGTCTGTCATTGTTTACATAGATGATTTCTAAGCTACGATAAACACGTTAGAAACGAAAATCGCACCGCATCTCATGACGTCACACATGATCACACGAGAGTGAATTGGTGACGTATGAAGTATGGGAAGCCATGGTATAACGTATATGTTACCAATTGTAGTCATATATATAAATATATTATAAATATATATTATAAATATAGAATATATATATATATATATATATATATATATATATATATATATATATATTGTAATATTAGACGGACACACACTGAATCTGCGTGATTCGTTTTCAAACAATTTTGATCATAAAATAAAACAGCACTTTTGTGAGTGGCTGCTGATGAGAAGAGTTTGACTAGTCTTATCTATACTGTTTTATTTGTGCTCAGTTTTCACAAGCTGCCTACGCTTTTTAAACCTGCATCTACATTACAGAGATGACTTTTCAGCCATGTTTAATTTGAACAAAAACTAAACAGAAAACAATTTTTTACTAATATCCACCGAATACAAGGTGCAAGAGCCACTTGTTGTAGAGTTATTTTAGGCAATTGTTTTAGTTTAGCGTAAGAAACGATAAACCCTATGATTACAGAACTGAAACAGATTTTACAAGAAACCAGAAAGCCAATCCTGAACAGGCAAATAGGAATAAACCTCTACTCCTGTTCAGAAGACCGGGGAAGGGAATGAACCCAGGCATTTAAATTTTGATTTAGATTTCCTCCCACGACATTTTATTTAATCCAAGGACACTTTACCTCAATCGGCATCATACTCCTACACACCTCAGTTTTTAGAGAGATGGAATATAAAATATGCAAAATATTCGTATCTGATAATAAAAATTCTATCTACCAATAATCGGTCTAGGCTTCTAGTCAAATATTAAGTCAAATATATATAGACCTCTAAAAAAGGTGTTTGAGAATCAAGGAAGTGTTTTAACAGAGGATGGGATAATGCGACACCGAAATCCACAGCCCCATTGGGATAGCGAATGAGATATTTCAAAAGCTAAGCAAACAATTAAGCAACAGGAAAATTTTATTAGAAACCAAGAAACCAAGAAAACGACTACTTTCATTTAATATCGCTAATCCTTTGGAGCAGTGAATGCTGGATCATCGTATCCCAGACGCAGAAGCAAATAATGGCAGCAGAAAATATGATTCTACAGAAGGATGCTGAAAGTATCATCGTCTAAAGATGTTAGCAACAACGAAATATTGCAGAAAGTAGAAACATAAACATATTTGTCTAGTATCAGAAAGAGACAATGAAATTTCTAAGGTAAATAATAAGGAAAAGAGGTTTGGAAAATCTGACACCCGCAGGAAATACTGAAATCAAGGGAAGAGAGGAAAGGATAACGGGATAATGCGACACCAAAAGACAAATGTTTGTTAATACCATGAAGGAGAGAACGTATAGAAAATAGATTTATCATTTGAATCCATAAGCTATATCTGATAACAAGATTCCTAATTCTATTTACTGTTGAATGATCTGTATGTATATAAAACAACACATATATATATATATATATATATATATATATATATATTTAATTTCAATAAAGGTGCAATTAGTTTACAAATTCATGAATTATTCATACAAAAACAAATACAAAGGTTAAATTTAATTGGCGAGAAATCCATCGTCGCAAACAATTCAAATAATATACAAAAACCGCGAACCTGTTTATGAATGAAAAGATCCTTGTTTATATAAATTCCTGCTGCATAAGTTCTTATTATT